GGACCTTACCTTTCTAGGCTTCTTTGGCAGAAACAGACAAAATTACTCTGGAGGTTGCCAAGCTGATAAAAGATGACTTCTTGCAACAGAATGGTTATACACCTTATGACAGGTAAGATCTAAATGGGTACAGTGCTGCCTCGTTCATGTGCAGTCTGGATTTCGATAGCTATTTTATTTGGAAGCTAATCAGTGCAGAATTGAATTTTACTTGCCATAAACAAATGATAGAACAGAAGCCATTGAACAAAGTATTCATACTGTTTTACCCCAAGGCACGCAGACCTTTTCCAAATGCAGTCTGAGTTTCTTCAGCCTTCAACCACTGAAATGAATACAGCTCAGTTAGTTTTTGCAATAGCGTGTCCTCAGGAGAAGACAGCCACTTTGTTTTCACAGGCAACACTCAAAGTCTTCCTGTTTGTTCTAGCAGCAGATGATTGCAAGTAACTGAGAAGTTTGATCTGTTAAAAACTTACTAATTTTTTTTCTCCCCTAGTGCCGTGTTTATCATCTTCCTGCACTTTTACTTCCTTCCTCACTATCCTTTCATTTTTAACAGCCTGCCAAGGGGTGCTTTGAACTTCTGCTTACTCCCCAGCCCAGATAGCTCAGGAGATTTGGAAATATTCTCTAAAAACTTAGATGTGCATCATTCTGTATGGTGTGTGCTTTTAATTATGTTATTGGGGTAAGGCATGCTTTTATATGATGGAGAAGCACAGGAAGTATCACGATATACTGTATAGATAATAGTGAGGTACTTTCCATCACAGTCACCTATCCATTTAAAAAAACAAAAAAACAAAAACGACTCTGTGTGAAGCTTCTGGAGTGCTCTTATCATAGAAAAGCTTCCTTTCCTGTGAGCAAAGAAACTTGCAGAGCTGTCAGGCTCTCCCATGCTGTTTTCAGGAAGCCTGCTCCCATAATGGACAAAACAGGATGGAGGAATTCCGCTGACTGCTAGTGTTTTCCCTTTCTCATTTGCAGTGGCACAGATTGAGATGTCAGACTTGTATAGCAGTGGTTACTGTTCTGTCCCATTTTGTCCAGTGTTTGGATGCTGTTTCAGAAACCTTGCTTCAGGAAGGCTCCAGGTTTTTAGATAGGTCAGTCAATAGGCTGTCTCTCTCCTTTGACATGAAGTAGACTAACACTTTATTTCAGGTGCGAATTCAGAGTTGCTGCAAAGGCAGGGGCAAAGAGTAGTCCTGTTAATTGCTCCAAGGTGCCTTACAGATCCTCTTCTGTTTCATCAGATTCTGCCCTTTCTACAAAACAGTGGGAATGCTTTCCAATATGATTGCATTTTATGATATGGCACGCCGTGCTGTAGAAACCACAGCCCAGAGTGACAATAAGATCACGTGGTCCATCATCCGAGAGAACATGAGTGAAATCCTCTATAGACTTACCTCCATGAAATTCAAGGTATGTTCTAAGGAACCAGCTTGGGTTACTCTGGAGGAGTTCTCAGTGCCTCTAAAAGGCTGTAATTAGAAGTGGTTATCAGTTGCCATAGATAAATGTCTATGTACTTGGGTTACCCATCCATGTAGAGTGCAGCTTTCCTACCCCTATGCTTAATGCCAGCATCCTCTGGATGAGTTTTAGCATTTACTGCTAGGACATTAACCTGTAATGCAATCTGATGTTGAAGCAGCTAAGGAATATAAAGTATGATGGTTGTTTTGTGTAAACTCTCTTGAGCCATCGCTAGTATCACCAATCTTTTAGGAACAAATACCATGAGATAACTGCATGCAAAGGTAAAGTGTTCTTGTGTACCAATGTCTTCTACTCCTGCTGGGTACTGGCTTGTTTCTGCAACAAAGAGATCCCTAGTATATATTTCTAGAACAGCAAGAGCAGAACAAGGTACACCTGGGCACGTAAGCTTGCTTGAGAGCTGTTTATGTAGAGATAGGGAAGTAATCCTTTCATTTACAAACCCTGGCTGTGAGAAGACACTTAGCATGCAGCATAGCTTTGGCTGAAAAATGGAAACCAGAAGATGAATGCGTGTTAAGTAGAGATGGCCCTCTAATACACTAGTAGTTATGAAAGAAAGTGTTATTTCCTGGGTAACAGGCTAAGAAACGTAAGAATGTAAGTGTTCTGTAGTCTGCCTCAGCAAGACAATGAGTACTAGTGTAATCCACACAAGTAAGTACATTTGGCCTGTTTGCAGGTGTTTAATCCTGAGGTTAAAAACAATATAGCAGTGGCAAAACAGGGTTGTCTTAAGGATCAGAGGCTTTTCAAGACTGGTCTGTACACTTGATGTATTGTTTTTCAGGACCCCGTCAAAGATGGTGAAACAAAAATCAAGGCAGACTATGCTCAACTGTTTGAGGATATGCAGAATGCATTTCGCAGTCTGGAAGACTAGACTGAACCTCTGTGACCACTCTGGTTTGTCCTCTGAATTCCTCATCTCAGCTCCTCTGCTTCCCTACCTTACAAGAATGATGCAACAGTACTTGAGTTGATAAATAGCCCTATGTTTCCCTCTTCATACTCAGTGTCTTTACAAAACATTCCTTAGTTTGTGTTCGGCATTGCTTTGTGTGTCTGAAATAGTGAGTGATGTGTGAGTGGGCCTGGCTGAGTGATGAAATGCTGTTGTACACTTCTAGGGTGGGAAAAATTCACCTTGCCCTCCCCCAGATCATTTGGTAACACAACCAACTGACCTGCACTGGCAGAGGAGGTGTAGATTTCAATGCAGTCACGCGGTACATTCTGAGCTGGCAGTGGTAAGGGCATTTAGGTCTAGCATTTTGCTAAGTGACTATCATGAAACAGAATTTTTGACCGTATTCTGACATGACATATTGATATAACTAAAGTTCTTCCCTACTGCGTCCCTTCTGCAGCCTTTGGCTGAGTCTGTTGGTATTGAAATGTGGTAGATCTGGATCTCTCCAAGGAAGGACTGACTAGAAGATGAGCATGTGCGAGTAGCCAGTACGCTTTTGTACACTGGAGAAATAGAACTTTATTTTCCTACTTAATACAGATAGGACTGTTGGATGGAGCACCAGCTAAAATTGAAGCTGTAGGTGCTCAAATTCCAGAATATTTTTGCCTTCTTGCTTCCCACTCACCCCATAATGTTTCACAACACTCAGCTGCTTTAGTTTGTGAAGCTTGTTACTGCTGCTTTGTACTATGACCCGTAACAAGATTCCACATGTGTGGACCAGGAATATAGTCTTTCCTAGGTGGTGCTCTCTACCAGCTCTTGCCTACTAGTGCAGTGTCCAGGTGGTGCTTAATCTTCCTGCTCCACCTGTGCTCATTGTGCCTGTTTGGCAGTGGCACAGATGGTCCTCATTTCTTGTGTAGAAAGATTCTGAGATGCTAAACTTCTGGGGGTGGGGGTTAAAGAGGGGAAAGATTGACAGTACAAAATGTATTTACTTCTGCCTTCTTGATAATGATGCAAGAGAAGCTAGCGACTTCTGCACCATGCTCTGGAAGCACAGTCTGTCAAGCAGCTGGAACTCTGCTGTGTCTTGGGCTTGTTGGCAAAACTAGTATGAGATGAGAAATGAGCGTAGAGCAGCTTTTCTGTCAAAATTCCAAGTGCCAGCATTCCTATCACTGCTGCAGAGGGAGGTGAAGATGCTGCCATACTTGCTGGTCTTTGACTCTCTTGTGTCTGATGACATCTAATACTTTGTTGCACAACACTGTAATGCCCAGCTGGGTGCCAGCTGACATCTAAACTTGTTATGGTCATGAAACAGTAACAGTTGGAGATGCCACTGGTAGTGGCAGGGCTTTGCATTAATTCCACACTGAAGTGTTTTTTCCACCAGCTGCCAGCTTTGAATGGCAATGGTGAAAGGGTATTTTGGCACCAAGGACCAAATGCTGCCACTTCCATTATGAAATCAACTCGCTGTTTGCCACGGAGAGCTCAGTTGAAACTTTAAGTGGATTTACTCTGTTTAGCTCTCCCAAAATAAACTACTATTCCAGCTGATATTCTGGTAGTGAACAGTTAAGTTTACATACAGTTCACCAAACTTTCAGTGTATGCTGCTTACTTAACAATGAGCATGTGTGAATGAGTGGTCACCATTTGAGCCCTTGCTGGATTCCTCATTGTTTGTACCCTTCACCACTGTACTATGTAGCATTTCATGCTAGAAAACAGATGTTCTTATCTCTTTAAATAGAGGATGTTATAAACTTTACAGAAGATGTCTAAGATAATACAGTTCTAATATTTATTGTGCTGTACCTGGCCCTGAAGTGTGACCAGTTCAAACAGTTTCATATATATTTTTGTCTTTTTTGTTTTGTGTCTCAGTTTTCAGTGTTGAGATTCTAATGTTCACTGTGTACTGCAAGTCTTCCCTCCACAGCTGTGGGAGGAATGAAAAGATGGGCAGAACCCAACCACCTACTTTCTTGTATATTTCATAATGTATGTTGCTGGAAATTGTGTAAAAAAACAAACAAAAAAAAAACATTTAAAAAGCTGTTGGGAGTCAATGAGAATAAAATGGATTTAACGTAGATCTTACCTGTTCTCTTTTGTGATGTCAAACCAAAGCTGTGTGCTGCAGTGGCATACACAGACCACCTTGGGCAAAGCTTACTGCTTGCCTGAAATCTTAATTCATCATTTTGGGATCTCTTTAAATGGGGATAGACAACTTAGCAGGTATTTAACCTCAGGTCCCCCATTTCAGTACAGCTTACACAGTCTCCTCAGGCATTACATGAAGAGAAGAATTACACTGTAGGACATGCTCTTGGGATAGATTTTTTAGAACTTTAGCATAAGAGAAGTAGAAATGCATCTTGCTTTTCAGTGCTAATCCAACAATGGTAATAGTGCCATGTTATGGCACTTCACTGAGCCTTACGGTCTTTCCCTCCCCTGTATACCACATGAACTTCTGTAGCAGAAGGCAAATAGTACGGTTGTCCACAAGCTAAAACAATAACATGATAGCTTATTTTTTTTTAAATAAGGATTAGAATTTGTAAATAACACTTTTATTCAGTCTGTTGCTATAAACATCATGTTCAGGCATTTTTGTACATCTTTGACCACTGCTTAACACATCTCTGATGGACATGCATTACCATCCTTATATACATGCATTTATTTTATATGTAGATGTGCATATATATATATATATATGAATGTATGCATCCTGTATTTTAGATACACTGAAAGCAGAAACAGATCAGGCGCTCAAGTAATTCCTCTGCTTACAAAGGGATTGAAGTCTCAAGCTCTGAACTGGCAAACCCACAGTAGTTAGGATTTCTCTGTGGTCAGTCCATTGAAAGAGGCTATGAGTTCAGGTTTTGGTAGCTTGGAAGTTACCAACTGACAGCGTTCTCGCTTCATCCACTCGACTTTTGTGTATCTGGAAGGCAGGGGTCACCCAGTGGCCGCAAGAACACTGCTCACCCCACCAGCTAAAAGAACCCAGTTTAGATGTGCATTTGGGACACAAAAGCTGCAAGAAAAACAAATGATCCATTGTAAGATGCATGCAAATGTATTCTATGGTATATTAAGTTATGGCAACCTGCACTAAAGCCAGCTCTTGTATTATTTCACAGAAGCTAAACAGTCTGAAAAACAGTCCAAAAAAAACCTACAACAGCTATGTAGACACGGCTGGAGCTTGCCATGCCCCATGTGTGATAGGCAGCTGTGCTGGCAGAAGGGAAGGTGTGGAAATGCAGCTGCTCCAACCTGGTGTGGTTCCAGGACACTTGCCAATCTCACACATCTGACAGCCTTGATCAGTGTAAGACCATGACAGGTTTTACATGTCTCACAAACTCTATTACACTAAAAACACAAAAAAACAGTCAAACATCCTTCCCAGTGTACTAAATCCAGCAAGATCACCAACTCATTTCCTTATACAGGGATATTCTAATATTTGAGAATCTGTTCATAAGCTGCAAAACTGATGCAGTAGAGACTGGGAGATCTAGAATGTTGCCCTGGGGCCTTCGCATCAAGGAACAGCAACAGTTCGTTTTACCTTGGCTAGAATATCCCAAAAATGCATTCACCTGTCCTTCCGTTACTCCTAGCAGTGCTGGCTCCATCCACTGCACAGGCTCAATGAAGTAAGAGGTGCACTTATCAGGGCCGCTGCCACGAAGATGCACAGACTCCGTTATTCTCTTGTGAGCAAAGGCTGTTGGTCCACTTCCTTCCACGTGGGACAAAATGCTGGAACTACGAAACAGAGCGCGCCTGTTCTCCGTGACAGGGAGGGGAAAAAGGTGGAACACTTTTTTAATGGTGGGTGAAGATTAGAGAGCACAGGGACAAGGACCTTTTGACAGTAACTAGATAAATAGCCTATCTTTTCATAGGCAGGCACTGACTCCATTTAGGGCTGCATCTTAACAAACCTTACAGTCTGTGTAGTGTTGGGCTCCACTTCACCACTGTATGCTGTTTCTTACACAGATCTGTGTTTAAACAATTCCCTACCAGTGAAACTTTAAAACTAAGCTCATACCTTTGAGAAAAAAAAAATATCTACACATAAGGAGCAACAGGATCTTCTACCTGTATTTTAGTATAAAAAATAGTTAAAATTGGGTCTGTTTTTTTTTTCCCCTAGAGAAAGCAATTTGCAAAAACGAACTTGAATATATGACTGCAGATCAAGCAGCTTTGCACAGTCAAGCAGAATTACACCTGCCTGCATAATGTGGCAAATTAGGATGCACGAGTGCTGCACAACTTCAAGTTTTGTGATTTCATAACATATTTGTGTTTAATTTCTGTGGCACAAACATTGTATGGAAACTTACACAAGATCTTATCCCTGTTCCAAAAATAACAACATGGCCTCTAATTTACACAGGCTATTTTCCTCTCATGATCATTTCAAAATGACATTTTGTGGGAAATTCAAAAGGTTCCGTACCTGCATTTCCTGCATCTATACAGAACTTCTGTATTTGGAGTCTGATGTGCATTGGTTGGATCAACAGCAAAGACTTCTTGGGGTAAGTCTTGAAGTTCTGCAGAGGGGACAGTACTGAGTTGTGAGTCAGGCTGATAAAGGCACCAATACATTCCAGGGAGAGAAGACAGCATTCTGCCCTGGTCACCATATACAGAAGTCACCTTCTTCACCGTTTTTTGCCTTGGCAAAATAAATCCAAAAAATAGATTAAAGACCTCACCCATTCCATTAGGTGAGTTCAAAGCAAAACAGCCTCATCCCACCACATATAAAATAGGGATTCATTTAACACGGTGAAAAGGAATTCAAGATCTAGCCTGAAGAAAGGTAAATGGTTGCTTTTTGCTCTGTTTGGGGGATGATAGATTTGGCTTGCTAGGTGCATAAAAATAATAATCAGGAAACAGCAATTTGGCCATTATTTCTGCATCTTGACAAAGAAAACAGTCAATCACAGATTTGTTTCTTAGATATGCCTCAAAGAGCCTGATAATGAGCTATCAGAGATGTGAACATTTGTCTGGCCAATTCAAGGCTCAGGTACTTTGAGGGTAGCAATCCAAGTCAGCAACAGCAAGCTCTGTATGATGGCATCCCTCTTATATGCTTCTCTGCATTTAAGAATAGACACATCATGCTCATCCCCCCTGAGATATATGACTATGGAAGGACATTCACCAGTTTGCTGTCTGTGCAGAGAAACAGCAAATAAGCTCTGCAGTGAGTCTTCTGCATTGTTGTTCCTTTTTGTTTTAACAATCTCTGAACCACAGCTCACTGCTTATAGCCCCATGCTGTCCTCACGCAGCACACCAGACACAAGGAATCTACCTGATCCACAGCCAGTTAAATACAGCTACAAGCCACAGCAGCAGGCGCCAAAGGTCACGGATCATGGCATACAGCTTACGACTGGTAACTGTCATAATTTAAAGCACATCAGAAAGTGGGTGCCTGGTGCTGTCCAATGCAGCATAAAGCAGACTGCGTGGCTGCCATGGGCACAGCCACACACGAGCACTCAGTACACTGCACAGGGGCCAGCAGCAGGACTCACAGAATCATTTGAGTTGGAAGGGACCTCTGAAGGTCATCCAGTCCTATACCCTCGCAATGCGCACTCCAGCCTGACTGTGAACGTCTCCAAGGACAGGGCATCTCTCTGGGCAACCTGACTCATCCCAAGCTCAGGGTTCAGTGACACGGTGTGGCTTTTGGACAAGGCATCCCCCGGTCCCAAGGCTGCACCACTCACCGGAGAACCTCTCCGTGAGCACCTGCAGGCGATGCTGCTTGTACAGGGCGCTGCTGCTGTCCACGGCACAGCCCATGGCCTCGTAGAGTTTCAGCTGCCTCTGGAAGCCGAGGTTCACCCTGCGGTGCGGGAGAGGAGAGCAGGCTGAGACCGAGCTCGTCCGGCCGGGGTGCCGGGGGACGGGCACTCACTCTGCGTCGGGTTTGGCGGCTCTGACGGCGGCGTAGGCTTCCTCCCAGCCGAGCCCCTGGCTCTTCATCAGGTACGCGGTTACCACGGCCACGCTGCGGCTCACTCCGGCCTGGCTGCAGGCGAAAGGCGAGACGAGGCGAGGGCTCAGAGCAGCCCCGGGGCGGCCGGCTGGCCCCGCCACACCAACCAACCCCGGCCCTCACCACCGCACGAGGACGGCCCCGCCGCCAGCCAGCGCCGCGCCGATGAAGGCAGCGCACTCGTCCAGGCGGCTCAGCAGGTCGGCGCCAGGCTCGTCCAGCGCTCGTATGTACAAGGCCTGCACGCCCGGCACCGGAGGCGGCTCCTCCGCGTCTACCGTCAGCACCGCCATCACCCCCGCCGCCGCCAGCGCCTTGGAGGACGAGCACGACTCCGCGCCGCCCACGTACAGCCCCGGCAGCACCGGCACCATTCCGCCACCCCGCCACCGGCCGCGGCCCCGCCTACAAGATGGCGGCTTCCGGCGGCCGCCGCCGGTCCCAAGATGGCGGAGCCTGAACGCGGGCTGGCAACAGGGTGTTGGACTGAACTGGGTAGAGGTGAGATAAGTCACTGCAGGAAGATCCAGCACCTATGCTTTTCCTCAAGATTTCTGCTATCCTTGCACCTCAAGTTAGCGTGGTGAGGAAAGGAAGCCTGAAGGAGTATTTATCTGGGAAGCCTCTGGAACTGGCACCAGTGTGTGAATCACCTTCTTGGAGATTAAAGCAGGGCTGCGAGGACCCTTCGTTCACGGCGAGATACCCAGCTGCTCACAACAAGCAGGGTTCTTTCTTCGTCTGAGCTGAGCCACAAGAAAAATCTGCTGGGAAATTAAACCAGCTTGCTTGTAAGATCTGCTACGTGATTGCATCTACATAAGTGACGCAGGTTGACTTGCAGAATAAAGCAAACACTGGTAGGCTTTAACTCTTTCCAAATTGAGGCTTCTCGTTTAGGATTCAAACGGAAAGCACATTTTTAATGTCACAGGTTTTATATTTCTGGGAAACTTTTTATTATAAAATTGCCAGGCTAGTAATGCTTCTAGCTGCAAGATAAAACCAAATCCAGACCAAATAATTCATTACAGGCCTTGTGTGAAACATATGAAGAACTTCTTGCCTCTAAAAGTCAAATGCCTGGCCCAATGTGAAACCCGTCTCACAACTCTTGTTTTATGCTGGCTGTCACACAAGCGGAATTTGAACTGCAAAAGAGGAATTGTAACTAACTCCAGGTTTCTATTCCAGTCTCTTACTTATAGCCAGGCTATCGCTTGCATTCATAACCAAAATCCAATCCACTGTAGACAGAGCTAACAGGTCTTCCGGTAATCTCCCTTTATTCCAAGATCTGTTGCAAGTGATGACATGGAAGTTTATGGGGAGATCTTGGTGCAGCCATATTTTTGCCCATCATGAGTTTCAGAACTGTTGAGCGGTGAAAGGAGGCAGAGCACTCAGTTTTACTCCTTGTCCTGGTTTCAGATGAGGGTAGAGTCAATTTTTTTTCCCTGCAGATGATGTGGTACCGTGTTTATGATTTTGGATGAGTGCAGCTTGATAGGCATAGACCAAAGCCTGGCATGTTGCAGTGTCTCTTTGGAACTGACGGGGATGGCATACCTTTTTCAAATATTTTACTATTTTTTCAAGATTCTGCACTTGCTCGGGACTGAAGTTCCAAGGCACTGGAGGTGCCCATTGTTCTAGGTGTCTGCCCATAATCCTCCCACCCTCTCTGCCGTTCATAACTATCCTGCCTTAAGGCAGATCTCTGGGTGATACACTTAAATAGTTGCTTAACCTTAAAACCTGGAGCACATTCAGGAGACACAGCAATAGGAACATGCTGGTTGGAAGATCTGGAGTACATTCAAAATTCTCAAGAACCATTGTAACTTGGTTGGAGTGGAAGGGGATGGTGAAGAAGCAGGGGAAAGTGTTTCCCCTTGTCTCTCTCACAGATTGGTTTCCTGCTAACAAAAGGTGAAGAGTGTAATTGTTGATATGTTTCAGAGAGATGGTTCCCAAAGTACAGAGATGATGGCAGTGTCAAGTATGTACACCAGGTTAGTCTCACAGTTTGTACTTTTATCATATAACAACACAGGTTTGCACAGTACAAAGTGATAACCTTAATCCAGCCTACAGGGATGATTGACAGCACAGCAGGGACATAGACAGTAAGGTGCTACATAACACAATTCTGAGAACAAGCACAAGTCTGATTAAAAACAACAACAAAATCAACAGCATTGTAATGAGTAACTACCAAAATAAAAATATGTATATAACAATTTTGTTTTAACATGCTGGGGTCAGGTATGTCAATCTTTGAGGTCCCTTTCAATCCAAGCCATCCTATGATCCTCTAATCTATAATTCTCTAATTCTATGATCACAGCCTCATGTTGAGCACCTAAAGGACTGTTGTGATTTAACCAGCAAGCAGCTCTGCACCCTGCAGTTGTTCACTTGACCCCCCTGGCAGCGGGATGGGTGAGAGAATTGAGGGGAAAAAAAAAAAGGCAAAACCTGTGGACTGAGATAAAGAGAGATTAATAGGACAGAGAAGAAAGGTAAAATAATAATTACAAGGATATAAGAATACACTAAACAAGTGATGCACTGTGCAATTCCTCACCACCCACTGACCGATGCCCACACAACCTGTGAGCAGCAACAGCCTCCCCTGGTCAGCTCCCCCCAGTTTTGTTGTTCAGCTCAATGCCATATGTTATCGGTCATGCCTTTGGCCACTTGGTGTCAGCTGTCCTGGTTCTGTCCCCTCCCAGCTCCTTGTGCATGTGCAGCCCTTTGCTGGCAGGGCAGTGTGGGAAGCTGAAATGTCCTTGGCTCTGTGCAGCGCTGCTCAGCTACAATTAAAACATGCATGTGCTATCAACATTATTTTCATCCTAAAAGCAAAGCACAAGCTACTGGGAAGAAAATTATCCCAGCCAAAAACAAGACACTCTTATAGATGAGAATGCTCTGTGTTAGCAAGATACCTGTGCAAAACATTACCATGCAACACATTTACAGCCAGAACTTTTCCTTCTTCTCTCAAAATATCCAATCATTTCACTTCCTCCTCAAATCTTTTTCCATAGTTATCTCAATCACATAGCTGCAAGATTTTCACAGCACAGACAGAAAGGCCTGCATGTTGCTTAGCAAGTTTCTGAGGAGAGGTAAAATGTCATGATTACCATAGAAAGAGGTATGGTAATGTTCTCTCATCAGATGAGATGTGTAATATTACCCTACCTCTTCTGTATTAGATAAGAGAGCCTGAAAGCCCCAATTATCTGTCACTGGGAGCATTGTTCCTGCAGTACTCTATACCAGACAGCAGTAGGCAAAAACAGTCCGCAGGGCCCTCCCGGATCCTTATAGGACAGCATCTAGCCGTGGAGATGGAAGGGAGGATGTGAAAATGGTGGTCTTTGATCTGATAGCGTGAGACTAAATTCTGGTGGTAAGATTGTTATCCCCTTCCAGCAGGAGAGCTGGAAAGAACTGGGCACTGGGGAGCAGCTGTCATGCTGAGGGACAGATCACAGCAGAGAGCTGCTGAAGATGCTACCCTATGCTCAGCTCTTCAAGCTGTCATCTTTGTGTTGGAACACAGCACCTTCCAGAGTTGTAGAGCTTCCCAGTAGCCCAAAGGGCAGACCAAGGCATCTCTTTGTACTTTAGGTGAGCCTAAAGGCTTCTGAAAGCATAAGTTCACTGCAGCTTAAAGTTTGCTGTCATTCTGCCTCACCTCCCATGCTTGTGTTGCTGGAATGTAAGTATGTAGTGGCCCTACCAGCTGGCTAGCCCTGCTGAATTTGACCTCTGTGGCTGGATCAATTTTCAGTGGGGTCAGTTCCCTGAGCTGCCTCACTGCCCTGTGGCATAAACCTGACCTCTGAGGATGGGTTAAGGGAGACTCTGACAGGTCTAATTTAGATTATTTTAAACTACACAACTGCATTATCTATGCAAAACCTCCTTGTCTGGTTACCACCAGCTAGAAATAAAAGGCCTGCTGAAAAATCCTTAAAGAATTCAGACTACTTTCCAATAAAAGCCCCTGTAATCTGTCAGGGAAAAAAAAACAAAACAAAACATACTGAAAAGAAGGAGAGGTGGAAGTTAAAACCAGATAAAACTGTATGGCCCTGTAGCTGCAAATTTAAGTAACAGATGTGGCAAACTACTATGGTGAAACATTGGGTTATTTAAGTCTTGAGGTGTTGAATAAAGTCAGCAGGCAACTATATGTTAGTGAAGGGACTATGAGTTTGATGGCAGGGACATATTATACAGGGATTGGATGAGTACTAAGAGATGTTCAGTTGTGTCTGTGGGCCTTCAAACTGTAAATCTGTGGGGGTGAACAGTAGCATCTGTGACTGTTTTTGCAGTGACAGAAGCGGCAGACAGGGCTCATGCACAGAAGGGAGGTGTGGTGCAGGCACCGCACCCTGAGTGCATCATTTCCCAAAGCTGGGGATGGTGAGAGAACGTGAAAAACCTGCAATTTCAAAGTGAAAATCTGTAGTGGGGGAAAGTACATGGTTTGTGGGGCAGCTTTGTGTGTCTGGGGCTGTGCACCCTGAACAATATATTCTCTTTGCCTCCCTTTGCTGTGCTTGCCACCTGCAGCTTGAACATATGGTGATGGATCCCGAGTTTGCTCACAGCTCCCAAAATAGAATAAATGTTATTTTCAGTTTGCAAGGTTGATTTGCAAATCAACCTTCTCCACCAACCTCTGCCTCCTCCCCTCTTCAGTTCTTGTCTTCTCCTACACCACCAAAATTTCTAACCGTTTGTCCTCCCCCGGGTTCTGGGAAACTGTGACTGATTAAAGCTGCTTGGGCAAGCTCAGGTGCAAGGCAAAACAAATCGGAGGACAGACTGCTGCCCACTCCCTCCACTAAGCACGTTCCACCTCAGCATGTGCTCTGAGGGAAGGCCTGGGCAGGAGAAACTTCATGGAAAGGAAAACCCTCATGTACACATAAACCAACTCATGAGAAGAAGAGTCTGCAGCTTCCAGATGGCATGTGGCAAAGCTGTGCCAGGATGGTGGAGTCACCATCCCTGGAGGTGTTCAAGAAATGTGTAGATGAAGCACGTGGTTTAGTGGGCATGGTGGGGTTGGTTGATGGCTGGATGCTCTTAGTGATCTTTTCCAACCTTAATGACTCTATGATTTTATGATTCTATGGGCTGATAGGTAGCGATATCTTGAGTCATTCACAGGAGTCAATAACACTGAGTTTCTGTATCCTCCTCAGATTTCAATGCAGCCTCAGCTTTGAGAACCATCTTTGCGCTTTTTTGAAGGGCTCTAGTGGAATTTCTTGCCCCTTAGAGAGAAAGTGCTACTCAGCTCTTTGCTTTCTGGTGGAAGCTGGTCAGCCCTACAAAGCAACCTCTCACCCCTTTAACAGAACCTTCTGGATG